CTTCCCCGGTACCGGGCCGCCGTGACGCGCTTCCGGCGGGAGTGGCGGCACCGCGCGGTGCCTGCCGGGAGTTGTAGTTTTCCTGCCCGCTCGCCCCACCTCTCCCGGCACCGCGCGGTGGATGCTGGGAGTTGTAGTCCGGGCGGCCATGGCGGAGGAGGGCGAGAGGAAGGCCGCGCTGGAGACGGTGAGTGAGTGCGGCCGCCCGGCTGAGGCGGGGAGGGGATGGACGGGGCAGGAGTAGCCCTGCTCTCCTCTGGCAGCGGTAAACGGGGCCTCCCCGGTATTTTCCAGGGCCCGGCTCAGCGGCGGGAGCCCCTCAGTAAGGGGTCCCGCTGAGGAGGGGGTGTTGCGGGGTTGGCGTCGGGATAAATCGTGACAGGGAGGATAGATCCAAGGGAAAACCGCTTCCGCGGGTCAGCCCTCATTCCCGGGCTGGTGTTTCGTCCCGGCAGCGGGAAACGGCAAAGATCCCTTTGCAAACCGGTCCCATGCTGTGGCCTGCCTGCCTTACGGCCTTTCCTCTCGCATCCCGCTCCAAACCCTCCTCAGGTGTCACCCCTCAGAGACCCGGCCTGCCTTACCCGGCTTTTTTCAGCCCCTAAACCCGTGTGGTTTTACCTGGCATGGAGCGGCTGCTCTGTTACAGCGTCTGTGAGCAGCAGAAGGAGAAAGGAGCTGAGAAAAGCGAGCAGCGTTACCTGAAATAGGAGGGACAGAGAGGAATACGCCTTTGAGTTTAATTTCTTGAAGTTCAGGTGTTTGAGGTTGTCCTGTAGGGAACAAGAAGCAGCTAGAGGTCAGGACTCACCTACTCTAAAACTACTTAGGGCTAACCTTTTCTAAAACAAGCCTTGCTCTTTAAAGATGAATTGCTCAGCACTGCATAACGTCAGGCCTTGGGTGGCTTTGCCTGTTAGCTGTAGGCCCTGCAGCGTGCCTCGTCTCCTCTCTTGCACCCATTTCAGGTTGCTGAGCCCTGCGGCATGAGTTATAGACCCTCTTTCCATCTCCAGTAGCCATTGCAGGCAGCAGAAGGCACTAGATGGCACTGCACTTCACTCTTAACAGGGTTGCAGGCTCCCAGCTGGCAGTTACATCAAGTCACAGTCACAGGGGGAGCTGACACAGGATCATCGGGTGCCCTGCGTGCCTGTCTGTCTGTCTGTCAGCAGGAAATGGGGAGAGCTGAGCACCAGGACAGCCATACGGGAGAAACAAGAGGGCCCTGTAAGTTGTCTGCTTTTAAAAGCTGCCCTTGGGGGAGGCTTAATGCAACGGTTTGCCATAGTCTCTCAATCTACAGCCCCTAAACTTTTCCTAATGGTGCAGCAGACCCTGGAGCCTCTTAGCAATAGTCTGGCTTCTAGTTACATTTTTCAGGCTCTGTAGAGCCATATTCTTCTCCCTAATTGCACAGGCCACAGGTTGAAAGTCACAATTGCACCAGGAAGCCCAATTCTAATCCTATAAGTCTGATGTGATGAATGAAATTGATCCTTGAAGGGCTGCAGTTACTAGAGAGGCCCTTGGCAGCAAACCAGCAGATTCCCCCATGAGGAATGCAGTACCATACAGAAAACTGGAGGACATGTAGAAAGTGATACTGGCTCACAAAGACCAGCGAAGGACTATATATTCTGACATAAAAGACAAATTATGTATAAACTGCAGTGAGTGTAGGAACAGGTGAGTTGTAGGACTGTTCCCCACCCACTTCATGTCTAGTTGATCCCATCTATCTCAGCGCTGTGCTAATGTATCCGCCACAGCACTACCTAGGCACCAAATACAACATTAAATAATTCATCATCATAAATCACAGCCCCTCCAAGCAGGAGAGCTTCTGCATGACGTGAGATTGCAGCTCTTAGGCTTGCATAGCCAGTAGAGGAGGAGGGTGTCCAATGCATGGGTGGCTGGGTTGCAGGGGCTGTATCCTGACCTTGCTGGGAGGGGGTACCCTGGATCGTCTTGGGGGAGGTGCAGGCTTTTCCGTCTCTGTTGTCTCTGAGGGGCTCAAGTGAATTTGATCAATCCTAAAGCTGCCTCGAGATCTCATCAGCTTTTCCTTCTGCCTCTACCATAATGCAAGAGCAAGGACAATTTGGTAAAGAGACTAGCAAATCTGTGTGTAACAAAAGAAGAAAAACTCCAGATGAGCAGAATTCCCGACTCCAGAACATCCAGGTTGTTTTTACAAGTTGGCTTACAGGAGAACAAGTTTTTTTGCAATGAATAGTTTGATACCTGGACACCTCTTAGGTAAGACTCAGAAGCACCCTGAGAAATCTCAGCCTTCTGCCTCAGGGCACGGACTTGGTTGCTGGAGGGACCAGGGAGGAATCTGTCCTTCAGGGGAATGTGTCAGGTTTCCTCAGAAGCATCAGACAGCATCTGTGCCAGAGGCGAGATACCTGACTAGGTGGGCCAACTGCTTGATGAGAAGCAGTGAAACTTGTGGTCCTGCTGAGATCCAGGATTGTATCTGAGGACTCTCTACAGGGAAGAGGAGAGAGAGATTGAGTCTCTGTGAAACAGACAGGTTCAGCACAATGTGTTCCTTATGGCTGTGTGAAAGAGCTATGCTCTGACTTTCAACTGCCAGATCAATGCACTGGGTACTTATGCTGTGCTAAGGAGGCAGGGACAGCTTAAATTCATTGGGTTGCAGCTCTGAGGCACTTGCTGCAGCCCCACAAGCAGGCCCAGCCACCATGCCAGAGATGCATCCTGTCCCTTCCTTCCTATACCCACATGTTCCTTCAGCTCTGGGCAGGAGCCTGAAGTCAATGCAAGTCCCAGCACTGCCTGTTAAATTCCCAGTTACTCTATTTTTCAAATCATTTTTATGCAGCATTTGTAACTCAGCTGTAAATATTTGCTTTCTGTCTGGAAAAGCATGTCTCTGGCCCTGTGTGTGCAGAGCTACACCTGAGCTAAGGTGTAACTCCCATCACATGACCAAATTGCAAGAGCATCACTGTCCCAACGAGCAGAGCTGTACCTGTCTCGTTGCAGGGAGCGGGGGGGTGGACACTTGGGATTTTGGCACCTGGGCACACTTCTAACCTTGTGACTGGATGTAGGGAGCAAACTGGGGGTCAGGCGACCTGTCCTGTCCCGCGGGTGCCTCCTGAGTTAGTTTGCTCTTGTTTGAACCTGTAGTCTTTGGAAAAAACGAGCTCTTGAGTACAACTGGTGCTAGTAATTTTAATAAATACTTCTTTGCAAGGCCTCACATAGGAGAGACTGAGACCAATAGCTGCTTCTGGGAAGACGGATGAGGGCGCTGGGTCTAGCAAGCAGGAGAGCAGGCAGGGTGTCTCACCTGTGCCACTAGCTGCCCAAGTGACCTGTGTCAAATCACTTACACGTTTTCATTCCACACCAAGGGAAGGTGTTTTTGCCACTCACTGCCTTATTTTAATCACCAGCAAGACTTACTGCTTTGGTTATGGATTGCGAGATGCTGGGAGGTGAGGGAGACGCTATCAGTCCAACATCCCCTTTGCTGATGTGATGTTGCTGCATTGCACCCACCCTTCTGCAATAGCTGGTGTGCAGGGAGCCTGCCCTTGAATTGCACTGCAGGTCTGGGTGATCTCTTCCTCCATGGAAATCAGTCTGTGTTTCCCTTCTCAGCTGCGGAGTCAATTCCCCATGGTGGCTGTACCTACAGAAGGAGGAACGGGACTGCTAGGGGGTATTAGTACCTGAGGGGAAATGTGAGGGGTCATAAAATCCCTGGAGCAGTTGAGGATTTGGCCACGGGCAGGATGTGAAGAGATCAGTACTCATCTTAGGCCGGCTCCGCACTTAACCTTGAAACCTCTCTCTGCTGCTGAGAGAGGAAGCGGTTGGGGGCTGTCTGAGCACGTCAGGCTCCACAGTGGCTACGCTGAGCCTGGGGAAAGGTCAGAGGCTCAGCAGCTCTCTGACAGCAAAGCAATTAATTAGGGGTCTTGTTGGTTTTGGAGGGGATCCCAAACCAGTCTTCTCAGGAAGCCTTAGCTGGTAAAGCTGTTTTCAGGCACCTGAGCTAAAAGCAGCAGGAAGATTAGGGGCTGGCTGCTGGCATTGGGGGGTTCATTACGTGTGGGGCTCAGCAGCCTGAGGCTTGCTGGTGGGCTCCCCAGCCTCATCCTAAGCATGTGAATTTGGGCTTACAACTACTTTTGTTTTCAAGCTGAGATAAGATTTCCCTGCTGACAGGCAGCATTCCTCCCTGGGGATTTTTTGACTGTCCCTCTCATTCCTGTCTAGCCACAGGCTGGTGGTGGGACCTGGGATCACACCAACCTGAACAGTTACTCCCAGCTTCTTTCCACCATGGCTCCCGAAGCCACAGCTTTCTTTGGGCTCCTATTCTCTCCTGTGAAGAGGAAGGATGCACAGGCACTTTGATAACCAGGGAGAGGTTTCTCTGAGGTCTGCAGTTTTGCAACTTTCCCTCTGCTGTGAAGGCGCTCTTGGTCAGACTGCAGCCCTCAAGGCATGAGCCACAGACATGGCCCAGCCAGACCTACAAGCCCTCCCAGTTACTCTGGTGAGGCCAAGCACAATAGCTCATTCTTTACCCTACGGCTGGTGTTCATTACCTCAGGGAGTCTTACAGCATCTCTTCTTTCCCCATTTGCGGCAGGTCCAGGCAGATGGGACAGATGGAAACTGCGTCACGTTTGTGTTGCATGATGAGGACCACACACTCGGCAACTCTCTCCGATATATGGTCATGAAGAAGTAAGTGGAGCCTCCATGGTGCCTGGCTTTGCTGACGGTACCTCTGTCTCCTACTCTGTCCTTCTCCTTACTGACCTGCACCTCAGCTGTTGCTGGAAGAAGGCAAATGATCAGAAACTACCTCTATGTACGCAGAATATATCAGACATGGTGCCAAAGACTCCTTGCCTACTAACTCTCTTCACAGGATTAAATTTTTCCATGTGCTGGTAGTGTCAGGACCCTGAGAGCACTAATAGGCCTTAATGGGCCTGATCAGCCACACCTGGGGCCTCCACCCACACCCTGCCCATGGGCCCCGGAGCCCCATTTAAGCTCAGCTCAGGGTTTATAGTCCTTCCTGAGCTATGTTGTAGGAGTATGAGTCTCCAGCTCAGCCTCTACTGGACTGTGGACTCCATTCACCTGGATACTGACCCATGGACTGACTTCCTGACCTGACTTCAGCACTTCCTCATCATCATACATCTGCTTGGTGATCACTAGGTAGTGTCTGACCCTCATTGCCCTCACCTGACCTGCAGATTGACTTCCTGGCCTGACCTTGGACATGCTTCATCCCACAAACCTGCCTGATGATCTGGACCCTTGGCTGACCCTGGTTACCACCTTTGCACCCATCCTACTCCCTCATTTGGGTGCTGTGGGACAGGGCTAGCCTGGGAGGCCTCTGTCCTGTCTGCTGTCTTGCTATTCATGGCTCCCAGCTCCCCATTGCTTAGGGAACAGGCAGCCCTTACTGCTCCTTGATAGTTATGGAGGAAATTTAATGTCTGACATGTGAATGATTTCTGAATGTCTTACTTGGCCGTGGTTAAAATGATGCACAACTCCATGTAAGTACATGTGGTCAGACAGTATCTATGTCTCCTTCTGGGACAAGCGCTGTCAGAAAAGGGGGTAGGAACAGCCAATATTAAGCAAACTGATCATCTTTCATACTTGCATGGAGATGCAGGAATTGATGCTGGGAATTAATTATCCTGCTGTCTCCATCAAAATATACAAATAGGTTCACCCTGGTTGCCTGATTTTATAGAACTGGGCAGCACTGAGGGTTTGTGAAAATCTACTGCTAAGCCTCAGAAGAATTACAGCAGGAAGTTCAGTGCATCATTTCAAATGACAGTTGCATTGCAAATGTCATGTGAATCCCTCTGATAAATCACCATGACAAGAAAAACAGCACGCTTCCTGCAAGGGTCTGTTCTTTCTACTGGGTGCACAAATGTTCTGCCAGCCACCTCAGCTTATGAAGGCAGATGCCGTGCAGCCTGCAAACCATCTCAGTAAATCCTTCCAGTGCCCTAGACCTGTCAGCCTCTTTTGCTCAGCAGAACTGCAACAGGTTTATGAACAGTGAGGTTTCCAAGCATCCAGGATCCCCTGTTAGAACTCTGCAGGCCTGCCAGTGGACTGCTGGTGGTGCCAGGATGGTGCCTATGATCGTGCCAGCCATGTCCTTCTGCTGCAAAGCTCCAGCTCAAATGGGGGCATGTGAATAAGGTTGCACAGGTAGTTTCCCTTCAGTATATCCCTCCTATAAGATCTTCAGTGATTTTAGAAACATCCTGAGCCCCAGCAGGTCTGGGGTGGCCTGAGCCTCTGACTTTCCTGAGATTTGCTCTGGATTGGCCTGGCTTTCACCGCTCTCTTCTCCTTTCTCCCCTCCTGCAGCCCTGATGTGGAGTTCTGTGGCTACTGCATCACGCATCCCTCTGAAAGCAAGATCAACTTCCGGATCCAGACAAGAGGTATGGGTGTGCACGTTTCCCTTCTGTCCAGGGCCCTTCTGTTGTGGAATTCCCCCTGCTCATGTCAGGTTTCCACCATGAGTCATTTAAATAAAGAAAAGCACTTTTCTCCCTCTTCTCTGCTAGCCACCTGCAACTGCTCTGCCCTGTTGCTCAGCCAGAGAGGCTGCGCTGAGCCATTATGCTACAGCTCTTCTGTTTCCCAACTGTAGGGCTGAGGCCCGAGGAGCCCACAGCCCTGCCTGGTCCCAGTTATCTGGATTGGCTGGCAGCAGGCACCGAACTGTAGTACTGGGGTGGAGTAGATCTACTCACTGTCACTGGTGATGGGTGCTCCATCTGCCCCTAAATCAGCATGGGGATCAGAAAGCAAAGCTAAAGTGTGCTGACGTATATAGCCGCAATGAGATAATTTGTTTCTGCTTCTCCTTCTCAGCTGTCTTGCAGCTTTGATCATCAGGCTATGACCCAAAGCTCTTTTGAAAAGCCTCATCAGTCTGTGCTGTCTTTTGACTTGCCTCCCAAAGAGGACTTTGCTCCCTGATAATAGATAGTACTGACAACTCTGAGCCTCTTGCAGTCACTCACTCCTCCCAGCACACCAACCCCTTCAGCTCAGTCCACTGCCCTCCATCCAGGCCCTGCAAGCTCCACAGCTTTGTCTGCTGCCTAGACGGATGGTGTTATTTCATTTCTTCCTCATGGGGCTGTTCCCTTGAGCATCAGATATGTACAAGCCACTTCCTGGAAGCAAGTATCTAGTTCGTACTTGCTGACTCTTTAATTTCCTAAAAATAATTAGTGCTCAGGCTGTTCGCCTCACCAAGGGAACCCCTTGCCCATGAGACTAACACAGGGTAAGCGTCTGCTGTTTCTGTGCCGTAGCCTGGACACCACACTGAGCTCGGTTCTCAGGCTGCTGATGGTGGGCTGGTAGGAGGGAAGTGTGTGGGCACATACCTGGTGTAAGAGCCTCTTCCCATTGTGGGGACTGCCCTTGGGCATGGTGGTAACAGCCACGCTGCCTCAGAGTGGCAAAGGAGAGGGCCACCAACCTCTTTGGAAGTCACTAACACATCTTCTTTCCTGAAGGGGGCCTTCCTGCTGTTGAGCCGTTCCGGAAAGGGCTGAATGACCTGATGGGTGTTTGCCAACATGTGCTTAACACCTTTGAGGTGAGACTATTGCCTGAAGAGCTCAGTGGCCTTTTCTGTCTCTTGGTCTCAGAGGGGAGAGGAGTGGTCTGAGACCTGTGTTGTAGGCACTTTTGACATGAAAAACTTGATTGTATTTTCAGATGTTCTTTGCCTGACCTGTGGCATGGCCTGGCTTCCTTTCCCTTGGAGTGACTGTAAAGCTCAGTCGCTTCTGAAAGTACCTGGAGCTCTCTCAGAGCTTCTCAGGTCCCTTAGCATTTCCAGGCACTGGACAGAGAAGTCTTAGCACAGACCAGGGTGGTGGCACTGTGGTATATGAGTCACTCAGGTATCTGCTGTTAACATTTGTCCTTTGCTGTTGTTTGCAGAGGAGCATGAAGGAATACAGGGCCCAGAGGGAGGAAGAGATGCAGTAGCATTTGGGGATGGCAGTTCCCATGGATGTGTGTAATGTCTGTGTGTTGAATTCCCCGTGTCAAGCATTTTTGTTTGGTTGGTTTTTTTATGACCGCTTTGATGCAAACCTGTATTTTGTCTAATAAAAAAGTTTATGAAGTTTGATGCCACAGAGGTGACACTGTGTTCAGCTCAACACGAGTATGAAAAATGACAGCTAGAAGGCAGCTCTTTCACTCTTCCATCTTACTTCTTTCCTTCTCCAAGTGTCATTGCCTTTTCCTGCCTGGGATTTTCAGATCACAGAGTTTGCAGGTAGTCTGGTGCACAGAATTAGCCTGCCCCAGAGTCTGCAGGGAGCAAAGGGGTTCAGTGCTGTGTAAAATCAAGCTTTTAGAGAGACAGCACCCTCTCCCAATTTAAATCTTTCTGTTACAGGCACCACTGTAGTAGGCTTCAACAGATACGGCCAGACTTCCTTTTTGAACAGATCATTATAAAATGATACTCTGCTTATTTGGAGGGTGAGATGAGTAAAAAACCACTTGCCTTTTTTAACCCCCTGAAGAATGCAGACAAAGGCAAGCCCAGACCACTCCTCGTGAGCAGGTTTAAAGGGCACAGCACTGAAACCCTGCCCTTGTTCAAATCTGCTGGCAGCTAGCCAAGTGAAAGCCTTTTGTTGAGTGTAATGTGGCATGAAATTGCAAGGGTTTTTCTGCTCAGTGCTGGGTATAGGATTGTGAACCTTTCTGGATTGCTCTGCACAGGGGCGACACCACTTGTCTCTTCAGTGGAGGTCTGCAGTTACCAAAGGAACCTGCTGACACTCAATTAAGTATTTAGCAGACTTTGCAGACCCCCTGCTGCTTAATAAGAAACACCCGGAGATTTTTCTTTCAAACACCAACATGTTTTATTAACATACAGAGGAATAAGAGGGAGGATTGAAAATGTCAGGTTTTCTCTATAAAATCACTCTTTCAAATACAAATTGACAGACTTGGTCTCTCTGACAGGCCAGCAGTGGGTTTGTGTTTGCAGGTGTTAGGTCAAGAAGCCAGCCGAACCCTGCATTTCATAATAAGGCTCCTTTGCCTCTCAGTTTGCTGCAATGTATTCATCCTGCCCGTGCCAACATGGTCCCACATCTATAGTGGGTAGTTGCTTTGGCTTTGCTTTTGGATAATCCTGTCTGGCCTGGTTTCTTCATGCTGAAACCTGTGGGTGGTTAAAACATGCTTTCACACAGGGCTTGGGATGCAGCAGGGGCGTGTGGGGAAGAGGGGCTGTGCCTGGTGGGTGCTGGTGAGTGTTTTACCCCGCTGCATAGGAGCATGCACAGGCCTGGGGACTTTCTGGTTGGAGAATTCACCTGCCCAAGCAAATAAAAAAGCAGGAAAGCAGTTTCCCCAGGGCAAGGGGGAGAAGGTGAAGGGGTGAATAAACCAGGAGCTGACTAGTGCACCTGGGCTCAATCTCAGCCCAGGTGTCATGAAGAACAGCTTTTTTAAAGGTCATGAAACCCAGCTGGTCACTCACTGACCTGCTGGTCACTTCCTCTAACTCCCAGGGGATGCTATGGGCCAGTTGTGTGTTTACTGGGCTGGGCTGGGCTGGGCTGGGCTGCGCTGCAAGGATCACTCTGTTTCTGGAGCTCCTCTGCCTGGGGAAGCAAGAGAAGCATGTGCTTGCCTGTAACTGTATAGCTCTCCCCTGTGAAGGGCAATAGGAGCTGGCAGCAGGGAGCTGTCTTCATGTTTCATTTGCATGAGCAGCTAAAAGCAGGCTGTGTGTGCACTCCTTTTCTGATAGTCATTACTTTCCCTTTGAGCTGAAACTTGCTGGTCCAGGTCTTGGTTGTAGCCTAAGGGAGACCTTCCAGGGATGGGAAAGTGCCATTTGGCTGCCAGTGCAATAGAAGAGCTTTAAAAGGGCACTGTTTCCTGCTGATAGCTCAGCTCACTTCTCTCCCTCCTCTCTCGCACTTGGTCAAACTTTATGATGTTGGTTTTAATAGAAGGTGTCTGGGAGGAAAACACAAGGGGAAAGCTATACCAAAGGAGGATAAAGTCACTGTTAAACAGACATGCAGCGAGTGATAGCAATGTCCAGAGCTGGGGTGAATTTATGTCAGTCTGTTTGTTGCAATATTAATAATGTGCAGATCTGAGACTGGATTTGAGCCATTTAAAGCTAAAATGTTGATCTGAGTGTAGCTGCTAATGCAGGAGTGATTAAATCTGCTCTTGGAGCATAAAAAGAGATGTTAGCCACTTGGGGCCCAGGAGAGTAAGGTTAAAGGATTCCCCTGCGTGCCTGTAATTGGTATCTGTCTTGTGAATATTAGCAGGTCCTGGCTGTTCTCCCTGTCCTTAGGAGAGCATGATGGCTCTTCAGCGTTTGGGATGCTGCTCCTCATGGCATTACCAAAGGTCACTACTGGGAAATTGTCAAGATGCTTCAATCTTCACTGAAATGAATGGGAGCTGTGCATTTAAATATGCTAGTTCCCATGCATTGTGCAAGTAAAAGACAGAACAACCCTTGCTCAGCTGCTGGCAGGGACTAAACTGGACGACTGCATGCTTTGCTCTTGTTTTAACATGATAAGGCTGACTTTTACCAGTTGGGACCAACTTTATTTTGCAGCAAGGAGGGCAGCAACAGCCAGGGACAGGTCTATAGCTTTAAACTCCTAAGCTTCTTTCTTTCTTTCTTTGCTGTTTCACCTTTCTGGTGCTTGTGGCTCCTCTACCAGGAGGACACGAAGACCTTGATGTTCTTTCCTGCTTCTCTGAGGCACTGAGTACATTTTAGCTGGCTTCTGTGTCCCCAAAGTATTTCAGTCCTCTAGAGAACAGTATCTCCCTCCCCCATGTCCCAATACACTGAGCTGGTGTCCACGTCCCTCCTGGGTCTGGAACAATCTTGTTTCTAAAGAAAGCTGCTTCTCCTGACTCTCTGCCTAAGGGATCCTGTCTTCTGACAACTCCATTCATTTGGCATTATTTCTTTTTAATTAAGGGCAGCCCTGTGACGGGTGTTTCAGGGTCAGGTTGGAACAAAACACCTGAAAAGTGGCACCTGGGTTAGCAAGGGGCAATATATGTGCCAGGAGGGCAGAGGTGGACAGGACAGAGGAAGCCGCGTTCCTTGCATGTGTGTGTGCTCATCCTCAGCTTGTCTCCGGTGCTGATTTGGGGCTGAAGCTGGTCCTGCTCCGTGCATCTGTTGGCCTCGAATTACCTACTGTGACCCAGACTTACCAGCTTTATCTGAAAGATCTCCAGATCTGACCCACGGCATCCTGTGCTTGCTAGAGTTGTCAGCCTTCTCCAGGTTGTCCACGCTATAAGGGCACTGACCCAAATCAGCCCCCAGCAAGCAAGTCACTCCCTGCTTACACAGTGTTTCTCATCTATGTGACTCTGACAGTGGGGTCCCTACGAGCCAGGGCTACACTCCAGGCCTGTGCAATGCAATGAGGACCCCAAGAGAGAAAGATGTTGGCTCAACCCATGACCAAGGCACAAGCCGTTTCAGGTGAGTGGGAGGGAAACTGTAGCCATAGGGTCAGAGCATCCCAGTTAGCTGCTAGCATCCTAAATACTGCCTGTTACGGGACTTCTTTCCCTGACAAGTGATCTGACACTTCCATGGGCCTCCCCATGGTGTGGCCCAGCAAGCAGACCCTTGCTTGAAGTGAAGAGAGGTTTGTAATTAGTGGAAAACCCCTGGCAATGCACGTGGCAGCAGATGGAAAGGTCAGCACATCCCGTCTGTCTCTTCCTACCCTCCCTTCCAGCCACCACCACTGCGCAGCTGCCCTGGCACCTCCTGAGCACGTTAGACCCAGAGCTCGGGTGAGTGCCTGAATTTTAGGGAGCACCAACAGAGATGTAGTGGTGGAGATGTTAACGTGAAGTAAATCACTCCATAGCGGCTGCTTGCAACCTGGCAGGGCAGGCCTTGGTGCGTCGCAGAGGACTGACCTCATCCTGGCAGGAGACTGCCAAGGAGCTGGGCTGTCTGGAACTGAATTTGCCACAATTTGGAGTAGGGCAGAATGTGAGTGAGACATTGCATTAGGCTTGATGTGCCACTGGCTTACCCACTGCTACGTCCTTGGAGTGGTATGAGGTGTTGATTTGAAGTCACAGAATCCATTTGCCTAATTCAGATTCTTTTTATAAGCACTGTCATTAGAAAATATCCTTCTACTAAGATGTCTGTGCTGGAACATTTCAGTCTTTATCAGTTTTCTCCGTTGACTTCATTTGTCCACCAACAAAGTGCAGCCAGCTCTATGGCAGAGCACAGCAGCAGAGCTGCAAAATTGATACAGACAAATCTACTCTAGTGGGTAGGTAAGTTTATAAAAAACGTGCTGGTCTAGATATTCCTCAGTCTTTCTGTTTTCATTGAAACCCCTTTGTCTTTCAGAAATGTGATTTGTTTGTAAAACATTTGCATTTCAGTAAAAGCTAAGCTAAAAAACCCCAACACCTGGAAAACGTTTTGCTTTATTTGCAGGTCTTTTCTCTCCTCCCTTTTTCCTCTCTCCGTTTTTTTCCATGACAAGACGAAAGGGGGAAAGAAGAAAGAAAGAGAGAGGGGGAAAAGAGAGAAGAAAAAAACAACAGAAAAGTCATCAAAAACTTGGTAACTAAAACTTTCTCATATAGGTTTTCTTAAAGTTTTGGCAGAGATGCAAGCATGATTTTTTAGAAAAACATGCTGGAAAAGCACTCGGGGATTAATGATTTTAAATAGCAAATTTGTGAAAGCTCTTTGCCGTATTTCGGTTAGCTCCAGCGGCTCTTTCAGCTGAGATCAGACCTTCCCTATTGCCTTTTCCACCTTAGTTTGACTATGAGGATGAGCATCTCTGTCCCCCTTACAAATGGCATGAACCTTGGTGTCATGGTGCTGCGGCCAAGACACACCGGGGTCCAGCCCTGCTGCCCCGTTGGAGCTCAGCCTTGTTGGCAGGGGGAAGATGAACTACAGGCATCAAATGCAGGGCATCCCTTTTTTCCCTTCAGAGCTGTGGTCTTGCAGGTGATCCCCCTCCCTGGAGCCAGTGGCTGCAGGAGGCTGTGGACTTTCCAGGTGCTGAAGACCACGGATCAAGGCTGGATGATTTTCTGGAAGGGCAAGTCTCCTGGATCCTCTCCCTTGCATCCTATGTCAGGCAGAGAATTAGCTGCTTCCAGGTTACGCAGGGGGTTGGGAAGGTGAGGGATGGTTCCTTGGTCCCAGGCCCATGTGGGTTTGAGCCATCTCTGCCTTTCCTGGGCTTACAAACTCTTCCCTGGAAGGATGGCCCCTTGGGCTAGCAACGGTGCCCAGCTAGCCAGGAGCTCCCCTGTCCCTGGGGAGGGGGAAGCTGGAGCTGATGTTTTGGCTGGATGCTGCCACTAGCTTCTGCCAAGGATATCTGGTCCCCTAAGCCATGCAGTCACATACGATCACTTTGTTGTGCCATACACAGGTGGGGTGAACATCATCTCTGGGTGGGGAGCCTGGGGCAGATTTTCCGGGAAAAGGTGAAGAGGAAGGGGGGCTTTAGGGGTCCCCAGGTCAAGTTGGTCACACAATGAAGCCGAGTTGCTGCCCATCTCTCCCTGCCATGAACAGGAGGAGATTTCATGCCATTGATGGTCTACCAGACATACATGGTGCCTGGATCTTATCCTGGCTCTCTGCCCAGGGACAAACTGTCCCAGCAACAGAGGGAGATGATAAGGGATGTTACCAAAGCTTTTCTTTGGCTTTTTCAGCTGGAAATTGTCACTCGTGGTCCTCTCCCTCTCCTCCTCAACCCACATCCATCTCAAAGTGACCACGTCTCAACCTTCCTTCCCTTTTCACACACATTTCCCCACCCCACATTTCCACCCAAGACAAACGGCTGTAAGTCACTTGGTTTTCCTGTGAGGAAACAAAAAATCCTATAAGGATCTGAATGCCTTTCCCCTCCTCCAGAGGCATCTCGGACCAGAGGAGGGATCGGCGCGGTTCAGAGGCTGTGTTCAGAGCTAGTCCCAGGGGTCCGTGAAATGCCGCAGCTCCTTCCAGGCGGGTTACAACACGAAGGCAAAAACGATTCAGGCCCAGCCAGGAGATGGCTGTGCGAGAGAAATGGAGGGGTCCTGCTGCCTTGGCACAGTGCCTTCTCCTCTCGGCCCCGTGGGTGGCATGGCTTTAGGAAGAGCTGTACTTGTTACTCAAGCGGGAGCTGCTCCGGTCTAGCCTGAGCTCCTGCCCGTTGGCTTTCCACTTCCCAACAGAGCCCTTCTCGTCTGTCGGCGTGATGCTCAGAGCTGGTCTCTGGCACCAGCAGCACAGGCAGGACTGCGAGGAGACAAGAGGGTGGAGGGAGAGGTTACAAGCATGGGCTACAGGGTAAAAGAGGAGGAATTATTCCCTTGGTAAGCCAACCTGCACAGTGCCAGGCTGCGAATCGCAGCCTGCACTGCTGAGCCTTGCTGTCCTGCAGATCTGCTGGGAGCAGGTTTTCCAAGATAGGGCTGGTGTGGATTGGAAATGAAGATACCAAAATCTAGGGTACCTTTTGCAGTTGTGTTTTCTTGTCCTTGGGGGACAGAAAATACGGGTAATGCTTAGGTGGGCTCAACTCTTCTTTTTGCCACAACACCTGGGAGTTGACTCCCATCCCATCCCATCCCATCTCCTTCCTTTCTCAGGGCTCCACTGCTCCCAAAAATTATCTCTGAATAACTTGGGCTTGAAGTTTAAAGCAGCCCCTGTCCCTGGTCTAATGGTTTGTGGAGATGCTTCTGATCCAGAATGACAAGGACTTTTTGGCTTGTGCTAGGTCCTGCACTGGCAAAAGTCTCCCCATAGCAGGGCAGAGAGCTCTAGTGTACTTGAAGCTGGGAAGAGAGGCACCTAGCAGGGGGAAAATTTGGGAGGAGAGATATGATTATTATATGACAAAGAGGGGAATCCTGTGGGCTGCCGTCAGCCCCAGCCTGTCCCTGATGGGGCGTTTGTCTTGGAGCCAGGAGCTGCGAGGTCCAGCCCTGTCTCTGCTGCTGCTTACTGGGTGCGTTTGCCAAACCACTCTGCAGCTTTCCCTTCGTCTCATAAGCACAGAGGTCCGCTGCTGTGGAGGTGCCTCTGGCTGCACCGTGCCTGGTCCATGGGGGCTTGTGCCCTGGGACCGGCGTCTGGGAACAGTCACCGTAGCCGGGAGCTCTGGAGGGGTCAACCCTACCTGGAAGCAGTTCTTGAATTTCCTGCTGACGAAGTAGAGAGCCACAGGGTTGATACAGGAGTTGAGGGAGGCCATGTTGATCCCGAAGTAATCCATCACTAGGAGGAAACTGAGGCAGGAGGGGAGAGAAGAGGGTGGACGTGTTGGAAGCTCATGGAGAACTGAGGGAGGGTTTCCAAAATGCCTGCCAACTGCCTGGCCTGGGAACCTGCTTCCATGGAGGGCCAGTGACTGAGATCATAGAGGTGAGCACAAAGCAGTCCCTCCTGCAGTTGGGCAATTGCACAACAATTTTTCTTGCAGGGATCATTTCCTGAGGAAACCAAAAGCATGAGATCTGACTTCCCCTGGTGGCCCTGATGTTCTCAAACTCAAGCACAGTAGCAGTGTCTGGCCTGAACTGCATTTTGGCGTGATAGGTAAAGAGGAGAGGGGAAGACAGGCACCTGCCAAGTGGCAGAAAGTGCGCACAGCCCTGAGAGGTGCTGCAGTCCCTTTAGCCCTGCAGGGAATGTTTCTCTGCCCAGGAGACCTCTTTAACCCAGAGATTTATAGATATACCTCAAAATTTAATTTCTTCTGTTCTTATGGTCCCCCACACCTTTTCTCTGTGCCTACCGGGAGAGCAATGCAATCTAGAAAGGAGCTGTTGAAACCAGGTGTTTGGAAGGCAACTCCACCAGCCTGCAATGAGCCCAGCAGAGCCTCTGCCAGTGCCCGCAGGGGCTCCCAGCATGGTCCCCTTCTGCCAATGCCCCTACCTGAGCAGTTCGCATCTGTTGGGGTCCATCTGGTCGTAGATGGTCTTTTTGAGGATGCGGCTGAGGTGGAGCGGCAGCCAGCAGAGTGCAAAAATCACCACGAGGCAGAACACAGTCTTGGCCACCTCCCGGCGCTGTGAAGAGAAGGTGGGCAGGAGAGAAGGGATGGTCTGGCTGAGCATTGGCGAGCCGGTGGAGCAAAGCACCATCTCCCCACGCTGAGCAAGGGCCCTTCAAGGAATTTCTGTAACCTGATGACGGCTGGGCACCCCTTTTGAGTCCAAAGCACAACCTGCAGGTCCCAAATCTAGCATCATGAGGAGGACTCTGAGGCTGCAGAAAGGGCTATTGTACCAGTAACACAATATGGATGAGACTCCTTCACGCCCTTTCCCACCAGTGCTCCTGGTAACTTTGCTGGGGTGATACTCCCTGGGACATGGGGGCCTTGTCCATCCACCCTTCACACTATTTTATTGTGACAACCAGCTGGTTTGCCTCAAGGGATCATTCTGCAAAGTGTGGGAGGGGAAAGTAAACCATTCTTTTCCCTGCACCCCTTGTCTGTGATATGCCACATTCAGCGTTTGGTCTGGTTTGCTGTGATCTGGGCTGGCACGGCACAGCACAGCCAGAGATAAATGACCGCAAGTAACTGAAAATCAGGCTGGTCCATGGCCATAAGGCTAGTGGTTTGGGTTGTCCCTGAGACTGGAGATTGTAGACCTGGAGACCCATATCCCTGGTTCAATCCATGCATCTGCATCAGTGTGCCAATATCCGTTGACCACTGTGAGGCTATGTCAGCTCATACGTGTCCTTTACAGGGACAGGTACCTGTTCTCCCCTTCAACAGCACTCCCTCCTGCTTGGAAAATACCAGACTTTCTGCCTTCCTGGTTTTCTTACCTGTTTCATGTGGCCATTCAGAGCAATTCTCATGCCATTTCTCTTGCTCAACATCTCGCATGACATGAGGGTGTAGAAGATGCCAGTGCATACCAAGGGGAGGCAGAAATAGAAGCCAAAAAGCCACCAGTCCTTCACATCGCGATAGAACTGCATGCAAAAGAAAGAGCAACTGTGAACTGGGGAAGGGGGGGGCAGGTAACTGGGGCATGAACTGACCCAGTCCCTGACTCCGATGCTGGCCTGAGTCAGACACGTCTGATGTGTGAAAGTGTGACAGCCCCTGTGCTAAGCGCACATGGGATTATCTTCCCCCAAGGCTGGTGCACATGTTTAACCTAAAGAAGTAAAGGCTGGTTTACATCTGGCTGCCAGTCCAGTTTAGCACTCTTGTGCAAGGAACAGTTGCAAGGAGCTTATTTGGTAGACACGGTGGGATAAGTTCTGATGCTTTGTAAGGGTCTTCATTCCCTTGCTCACCCTTAGCTGACCCTGTGATAAAGGTTACCCGTGCAGACTGGTTGTGGGGATACTCTTTGGCCTGCTGGGACAGTGTAGCAGGTTCTGAAGCTTCTCAAGATGTTTCATGACCTTCTGATGTGGATGGTGAAGACATGACACAGCTTGAGGATCAGCTCCCTGTCTTCTGGCACCACGTTCAAAGCAAGTCTCCCCCATGTCACTACAATGCCAGCTATTCTGTGTTTTGCCTGATACTGCTCTCCCTGCGTTCACCCCGATGGCTAGAAGCAGCCATCTACAGAAGCATCTAATCAAGGAGGGAGGATGACTTGGTTGCCCATGTTTCCCTCTCCCTTGCACTGCAGCTGGGGTGGGACAGAGCACATACCATCATGAAGCTGGATTTCTGTTCGGAGGCGAGCATGCACACCCACAGGTGTTGTTCCCAGTAGCTGAGCTCCACCATGTCAAAGGCTATAGCTTCAGGGACTGCAAGCACAATGGCCACTGCCCAGATCAGCATCACCTCCACTGCCTTCCACATGGGGATTCCTATCCCTTGGATCCGACTCCAGGATGCCACTGCTCGGTACCTGCCCAACGTGTGGGAATGCAACAAGAGCAGATTCGAGTGAGAAAAGCAACCGTCGGGAAGGGGCCAAGAAGGTGCAGATTAGAGTTGTCTCCAAAGGCTGTTTCCCTTACACCTTCCTCCTCCGCTTCGAACCTTCCCCTTCAGTGGAATGGGAAAGATCAGAAACAGGGGCTCAATGGATGAATGTGATGGTAGCTATCCTTGACCAATGTCTACTTGCCATTGGGGAGGTGCCACCCTTCCCCACCACCCCAGCAGTTGTTCCAGCACATCACGATCCTCCCCTCAACCTTTTCCAGCAGGATTTAAACCCCGTCACTGGAGTCAGATCCTGTTGGATTTCAGTTCTACGTGACAGCACCCTCTCCCTCTCTCTGAATTTGGCCTGGGACCAAGCCACCCTGCAGTGTGCCTTTTGGTTACAGTGAAGGGACATGCTGTAGTCAAATACGGGTCAGGCTGGGCAGTGCAGCTGTAGAAGTTGTTTCTTACCTGTCGATGCTGAGAGCACAAAGGCTGAGGACCGTGATGCCCACTGAGGCCTTCTGGATGAAGGGGACCAGCTTGCACACCTGCACACCAAAGGGCCAGTCCTTTGCCAAGAGCTGGGGAAGAACCGCAGGGTTAACAGGCTGCTTCGGGAAAGCATGTCCGGCTTCCCATAATAGCAGCTGGTTACCCACAAGGTGTGAGAAGCCCACAAAGAACAGCTGAAAGCACTCTGAGGTTACCTCTGCTGGGATTACGCAGTGTGTGCCCTCCGGTATTTTGTGTTGTACTGGGAACCATTCGTTTCCCAAAGGGCTCGTTGTGAGATGAGTTGTCACCTAGATGGAAGGATCCAGACATCAGGTTCTGAATCTGCACTGTGGGTGGTTTCGGATGGATCTGAATCCTAAATGCCACAATGGGCTTTGGGTTGCTTTCAGAGGGAAAATGGGTGTCGTTCTCTGAAACAGCCAAAATGCAGCAAGGACAGCTTCTTTCAGGTGGCTTTCAAACCCATGTAGTCTTAAGCCCTTACCATACTCTGGCCCTCTCCCACGCTTAGATTCCTTATAGAACACATATACTGTGGTCCTAAGCTCAGCTGGGGCAAGCAGAGGGTATCAATGGGGACAAGATGTCCCAAAGGCAGGAGAAATCCAGGCCGCTCACTCGTGAGTATGAGAGTGAGCCTGGGTTCACAACCCTTATATCCCCATGACACCTGGAGCCCATCCTAAGGTTACTCCCACTCAGAACCACCCCCGCCATGCAAGCTCTTTAGTTTGGCCTCAGCAGCCAGACCAATTGATCCAGAAGCTCTCCTGGAAATCAGGGTCTCAGGTGAAGGCAACTGACCAACCCTACCCTTTCCTTTGCTCTGCAAACGTGGGTAGTCCACCTATCTCATCTGTTACTTTGTCATAAGGGAGACACACCATGAGGGAACTGGGCTACTCTTAGGACCAGGTTGCTCGTAGTCAGTGTGGGCTTCTCAAACAAGCAACAATTTCTCCTCCAGGAGGTGGCTGGAAGAGAGAGGGGCAGAAGGGAGAGGGGTTGCTCAGGTGGCCAAGGGAAATCCTGAACATCAGTCAGGAAAAGTCAGTGTAGATATGGCCAGAGCAGGGAGTCCCAACACTGGAGATTTGACCCAGTTTTCCTGTTACAAGGCAGGCAATGCCAACGCAAGCTGTTGTCCTTAGCCTGGACAAAGTATCTCAACTTTTCTTTGTGCTGGCTGCAAGCTGTGCTAGTTGCAGCTCCAAGAGACAGCCAAGTGTGTCTCCAAGCCAGCAGCCTGGGTTAACAGGACGTGTCCTGTAGATGAGGTCTTTGGTCTAAGCCATGAACTCTGCACAAAGCTCGGTGCAGCCTCAGTTGTTGCCTGACCAGGACGCAGAGCTACGTATTGAGCCTGTGACTGGTTTCTCTGCCAGCTTTCCTCCGTGAGGTCATTCCCACAGCCTCCATCTGCTCCCACATGCCCCTTTCTTTATGATACACAGGACCTTCCTACAACACAGACTTGTGCAGGACGGCAGATCCTGAAGGGAAGGGCTCTCAGACCCATGTCCTCACAGTCCTGTCGTATAAGTCTTGTTCCTTTGGGAACCCAGGCTGGAACCAACCCACACCCCAATATTGTGGGTGATATAAACGTGACAGATGGACTCTGCAGCCCAGATCCTGCAAAGTGGAGAAGCATTTGGATCCTACAGAGGCAGGTCTGCCAGATATTTTGCTGTTGCTGTTACTGTTCTTGTTAAATGTACATTGCACGACCCAAACTCTTTCCCTGGCCAGATGGTGCATTTCCCATCAATGTGGCAAAGGCAGGATTAAAATGTAGATCTTCCCTGCCTTGGTTTTGACTGGGGACGAATATTGGAGGGGCTTTGCTGTTCCACTTTTTGAGGGGCTTGGCGATGACCGTGCATGTTGGGCTGCCTCCACAACCTCTGCCTATGCAAGGGGTGCAGGGTAGAGGTGATCCCGGGGAGAGCTGCTGGCGTTGCAGCCGCGTTCTCCAGACTGTGTCTTCTCTCTCAGGCAGAACAAATTGTGCCTTATTCAAAGCAAAGGGTGAAAAGTTCGGTGAAAAGTTGGGTGAAAGCGGAGATGGGCTGTACTCCGTGGATGGAGGGGGGCAACCCTCCCCTGGGTCAGTGGTGCTGGCCCCAAGCTACTCTGTTTTTTTGCATGAGTGAAACCTTCTGCATGGATCCGTATTCCTGTAACAGCGGGGATCGTCCGGCTCATGGAGAACCTGTTTGTTTTGAGCTAAAACCCCTTTATAGTCTTCAATCTATTTCACTTGAAGGGTGTCTATTCACAGTGATTTGAGACCATCTGCCAGCCACATCTGGTCATTCTCACTATCAAATTATATGCACCTTCTTCCTACTTTGAATTTCTCTGCCTTGTCCCCCTGCCACCCAGCCTGCTTGATCCAGGACCCCTCTGGCATTCAATTTCCACTTTTCAGGCTAAAGCTTCCCTTTGACAAACAAATCTGGCTGAGCTCCAAGTCCTTCACCCCACAGCATCCCTTCCAACCCTTCAGAGCAGGCTCTGGCTCCAGCCCACCAAAACGTGTCTCAAGCAGTGGGCGAAAAAGAGCTGCAATAGCCCAGACACATCTCACAGATGTCCTAACACACCTTCTGCTCTTAACTGGGCTCTCAGGTCTACTGCCCACATCTGCCCAGCCCTCTCTGCTGCAGTGCACCATGCAGAGTTCAGGTTCCCCTGATTATTTGTTGTGCCTCTTCTGTCTCGTTTAGGGGGTAACTGTCCCTGAAAGAAGCCCCTGTTTTATAATACAGCCCTCTTCCTTATTGCTGCACGAGTCTTCACGTTTAGCTAGAATAAAACAGTTACTTGCTTGAGGCTGATTAACTGAACTGTGCTGGGAGAAGCGTCCCCAGTGCACAAGAACAATAATTTTTTGCTCAGCTGAAATAAACATTGGGTTGTAATGTCAGGAGACTGCAAGCAATTCTTTTCTTGTGATTTTAGCTGAGATTTAAAAGATCTGGAAGGTTGTGTGCTTGTGTGTGTGTGTGCATAACACAGCTGTAACTGAGAACACCTCTGCTTTCCCAGGAATGTACTCTGAGCTTTTTGTCTGTTTATGTTTTCCTCATCCTTTCGAGAGCAGAAACACCCTTCCCCTCTCCCTTGCAAAAAAGGAGCCTGCAATAAAGAGCAAAGGATAGATATTCCCCAGGGCACCGAGGCAGGTGGGAGCAGACACCATCCCTGCAATCGCCAGGCTGCCGCAGCACTCATGCCACATGGAGCCTACCTTATATACGTTGATGGGCAGAGCAATGAGGATGTAGAGAAGGTCTCCGAGCGCCAAGCTAGCAATGAGGACATTTGGCCCATTCCGCATGCACTTGTTCTTGTAAATGATCCTCAGGAGCGTGGAGTTCCCGATGATCCCTACTATGAAGATGGTGCAGGACACGATGGTGTTAATGTACTTGAAGATGTGTCTGATATCTGCAGGCTTCACGCACACGGGCAGCAAGGGTGGCTCAGAGCTGGTGCTCCTGGGGAGGCTCTCCGAGTGGTTTGACAGCTTGGCATCCTGGAACAGGCTTGGCTGGTCCAGACCGTAAACCTGCTCCTGGCTAAGCACTTCCAAGGGGACGGTGCTCTCCTGGAAAGCCCTTGGGGTCTGGCTGTGTGCCACGGAGAAGAGGCAAGTCAGGAAAATGGCTAGGGTGGTGGGAGCTGGGATTCTCGCCATTGAAGACTGAATGGCAAAGCTGGCTGCAGAAGTCCTCATAATGCTCATGGGATGTCCTTGCTTGGGTCTTGGTTGGGTCTGCAGGTGGAGAAGGGGACAAGGGAGAGAACTTGGTTAGCAAAGGAGGAACAAGAAGAGACTGAATGAAAGGAATTGCTGGAGAAAGTCCATCATCACAGTGATCAGAAATAATGCCAGATTAGATCCCATCTGGCCAAAGCAGCTGACCCCTGTGGGTGGGAGTCTTTGCTGCTAAAATTAAACATGCCTGTTCGAGAAAACAAACTAAAAGGAAATCAAACAGTCTCTTATGCCTCTTACACAGTATTTCAGCAAATGAAGGCACCTGCTTTTTCTCAAATAGGTGTGTTGAATCAGCTGTTGCACCTTCTGAACTTGGTATTGCTGCTCACATGGCAAATCTGACTTTTCTTTTATACCCACCCCACACTTCTCATTTAGTTCCTGACTGAAGTAGCAGTTTTGGGGCACCTGCCCTGTTGACGCCTGCACATCTGAGCGATTCTGCAAACCCCGTCTCGGGGTCCACAGGACAAGCAGACCTTTTCTTCCAGTTTGTGCCGTGGGAAAACTGGAGCTGCGCTGACATTCTACTCTTCAGCAGATTCCATGGGCTGCCGTACGCCATCTTGCAGTGCAAAGTGAAAAGACTCAGCGCAGTCTTGCTGGGAACCATGATGGGAAAATACTACAAGGGTTTTTCCAGAAATGCCATATTGATACCTGACATCTTATTCCAATTTATGTGCAAGCAGTACAGCCCCTCCTTCCCCATCCTTATCGTCATTAATTGAACCACTTCCTTTCCAAATCCACCGTGCCCATTCAACTCAATACTCAGGGATATAAATCTCCCCATACTGTTTGCAGTTTTGACTGCTGAGCACAGTAAGAGGTCTCTCAAGCTCACCAAGGCTGAAGCACTACTAATAAATAACACCAGAGTGGGTTCTGCTTTTCAAATCTCAGACAATGCTTTCAGGCAGGACTAGCTAAGCTGCTGTTCCACAACCACATGCGAAAGCTGAGGATGGCTGTAGCACCATCTTGGCATGATGTGAATTTGTGAAAGGGGCTTCTGGATGATCAGGTTTGGCCACCAGTGGGATGTGAGCCCAGAGAAGGAGTGGAAGATGTCAGCGCCCTGCCAGTCTGTGCCCTAGCACTGTCTGTGCCACAGACAGGGACAGATCTTGGGTCTCCTGGTTAGAGTGGGTGAAGAACATGTTTCTCAAACTATGGAAGTTCACAGCTTTGAAGGGAGGAAAAATTGCTGTGCCTAGACTAGAAACAGGAGTCTTTTTGGGCTTCCCTGGGCTGTGCTCTGCTCCAGAGGAGCCAGTTAGGCAGGGATTGGGATGCCTGCCTGCGATTAGAGATGGGACTTCAGCCTCCACTCTGACTCCACCAGGCAGAGTTGGGATCTGAGCCCAAACCAGCTATACCCCGGGGATCCGCTCCCCAAGACCATTCAGCCAACGCAATCCCGGGTTGTAACACAGTTCCCCCTGCCCAGGACAGGGGGGACCCCAGGACCGGCAATGCATATATGGTGGGAACATGCTGTTCCCACTCTGGGAAGGCATGGCCAAGCCAACCATGAGTCCTGCCAGGTACAGCCAGAGCTTCTCTAGATACAGCTGTGCATTCCTCATGTGTCATGGGTTCAGGCCAGGCTTTGTAGAAATGCCTGTGCCTTTCTGCTTGTTTGGAAGACTCCAAGCATAATCAGCATGAAGTTGGACTCTTTCCCAACAAACCAGCCTAGCCAGACCTACCCTTTTCTCAGTTTCACCCTACTGCTCTTGCCAGAAAAATCTAAATCAGGCTTAGTCCTTCCTGACCTTCTTACGTCCTTTGGGCAGGTCCTTAGTACTTTAAACTGTAAACAAGCAGTGTTAGGAGGAAGCCTAAAATTTATTCCCAGTTACATGTCAAATATAGGCAATAAAATAACCAAATCCCTTCAATCACAGTTTAGACCTCATGAGCTAGGGAGTTTTCAGTTCTGTTAAAACAACCACGTTTTAAAGATGTTTCTTTTCTAGTTTGAATCCTTTAACAGCACTTTAGATATGGTTTCACCACAGGAAAGTTAAAGATCCCATCGCTTTTCTTTTCAGCTCATTATAAGCATGCTTCTATCTGCTAAAATATTCATGCCTGGTGCTTAGCAATCTTGTGCGTTCTCTATGCCTTTTATCTGTGCACACTCAAACAGCTTTGCAAACTTATCTTGCAGATAAGCCGCATCAGTGTGAGCCAGAGCAGGCACTATGAAGTTATCTGCCTGCCTCTGGCTGAAAAAAAAGAGCAGTTTTCAATGACTTAAAGAGCATTTAGAGAAGAGTCTCCATATGATGGTTGGGAAACAACCCATATCTGGCCTGTAAGCACCCTGCTCTCAGACATCTGTGGGTATCCCATCACTGAGGGATACTTGCAGGTGTATGTGATCTGAAAACTGGGGAAACCCTCAGCCCATACTGTCCTTCCCACACGGGCAGAGCTAGTTTTCTAAGGAGGGGATGGTGGGATGCCAGCTTGTCACCTTGGATATCTAGTCTAAAATATTATGGGAAGGGACTAAGCTATGCACCAGAATAGCTGGTTATTGAGGAGCCTAGACAAGGAGAAGCCTTCTTCTGCAAAAGACCCTTTGGAGATGCATTGGTCAAAGCTGAGGATGCACAAAGTTGTCACCAGTCACTGTGAGGAGAGGAATGTTCTCACCTGCTTTCTGGAACAATCTTGGTCCTTGGTGAGTATGAAAGTCCTGGTACCTGCCCTGGTCTCTGCACATCCCTCATCAGCTGATTGCCAAATCTGGGACCCTGTGACCAGAGAAACTTCTCCAACACCAACTTCTTCCTGATATTTACCTAAGCATCTGCTCCAACTGCTGTCCTGGAGACAGATGACCAGGGTGGACTTTGCTCTGACCTGTTTGGATGTTATTCTCAGCTGTGACTCCTACTCAAGTGCTAGGCATCCAGCTATGTTGGGAAGGGGGGGAAGAAAGGAATGGAGAGAATGGATAAACAACCTGAAGGAGCTCAAACCTGACTCATTAGAGACCTGGGCGCAAATCCCTGCTCCAACTTGGCGCAGGGACTTTAGCCTGCACCCTTGCTAAGGTGCTCAGCTCTCCGTCCTGCCGCAGCCTACACCAGGGGCAGCTGTCTCCTGGGTGGGTGCCCCAACCAATGCCCTCCTCTCCTCCCAGCTATGCCCACAGGATTGCAGCTCACAGGAGAGGGCAGACCCAGCTCCAAATTCCTGCCTGGGATCCTTGAGGGTCTGGGCAGCTCACGCAGAGCAGTTTTGGATGGCACAGACAAGTGTCTGCCACTAAGGGCTGTCTGGGGGCTTGGAAAAAGACGGTGGCTCTTCAAGTTAGCAGCTGACAGAGAGGTACCAGAGCATCCCTGGAAAGTTGTGTTCTGTGCCCTCTGCAGCAGCAGGCTGTTCTTATCTGCTCTCCCCAGTGCAGGACTGCAGAGCCTGGTGTGGCCGTTTAGCCCCTGGGTATTTGGCAGAAGAGCTCATGTGAGTAAGTATCACAGGACACAGCTCACTGGATCCTGCCTGTCCCCTCCACAGCGCAGCTGCAAAGCACTGAAGAAAAAAAGCACTTTTCTTCCATCTTGCCTTAAAATCCAGCAATTTAGTAAAAGAGAAGCATTGTTTTCTCCTCTTCAACAGCCCATTTACTTCTTGCCCTCCATGCTGCCTCTCACATCTCAGAGTGCTTGAAAGCATAACCCTTTCTCAATTGTGGGGGAAACTGAGGCACAGGAGCATCAAGCTTGTTCAGTGCCCAGCAGATGTGAAGCCAAAGCCAGCATCACTTGGCCCAGAATCCTCTGAGCTTTGCTCATGTTGCTGATCATCTGGGGAAGTGACTCGGTGCCCAAAGGGGCCATCCCCATCCCACCTGCCTGGCTGGGGCTCTTCTGTTAGCAAATAGCTTAGACACATGGAAGTGGAAATGCGCTTCACACTGTGCTGAGTAGAGTCGCAGCTGAAATCATTGAAGTCATGACAGGGATGTCAGAGAATGATTCCCAGAGAGGAGGCGAGACTGAAAACCATTGCCGTAACCCTGCACAGCCTGGTCCTGTCTGAAAAGTGTCATGCGTGGGGCCGGGGAGCTTGGGACCCCTCTTGCCTGGGAGCCCAGGAGAGCCCACCACATCCCAGGCAGCATCCTCATCTCAAGGCAGCCTCTCCGCCGCAGTGCACTGCCTGCTGTTCTGCCTGCAGCAGGGCAGGCTGCCTTCAGGAGCAGCTCTGCTTGTGCTCCCCTGCCAGACTAACCTCGCCAAACACACAACAGACCTTCTCTGCAGATTAACATCACTTGCAGCAAAAATGCCATGGCTGGGGGGAAAGGAGGGAGAAAGGCAGGTGATGACACCACATCCCCAGCTGTTTCCCTGACCTGAACCCAACCTGGTCCATAAGCAGAAGGACCTTCCCCCCAGAGGTGTGCTGGATTTCTTCTCGTGCACCCTCTCCCTGCCAACCTGTTAGACCTTGCTCAGCCACCGTGGTCCCTTCAGCGCCTCCCCCGGAGCAGGGACCAGTGGGGGGATCTGAAAAACGTGCAAAAACTCACCCCAAAGCAAGAAATAATTTTGTTTGCAAATTAGCACAGGGAACAGCAAAGCTTTTCATTGGAGTTAAGTTACCTTCCTCATGACCACAAACTTCGGATGCTCCCGGGATCACTTTCTTTCCCTCTCACGGCTCCTTCCCACTGCACGGGCAGCTGGGCATGTCCTGCAGGTCCCGGGAGAACTGCAGCGTTGTAGATCCTGGAGTTTGCTTTTGTTTGTGGGCTTGTGCTCAGGGGAATGGTTCTTCCCTCTCGTGACTTGCTGAGATCTCTCTGAATGGAGCAGTTGGTTATATAGAAAATTGCAGGGCTCCCCCTGAGCACAGCCCCTGCAACCAATAGGCGAAGTGCGGGACAGGGATGTAGGAGGAGGGTGAAGCAGGAGAAACGCAGGACAGCTCTGCGAAGGAGATGAAAATAATAAA